GGGGGGGGGGGGCTGGAAACAGAATAGAACTGCATTGACGACAGAACCAAAGGACAAAGAGAAGATTGGACTTGCAGATAGAAAAGGCTGCTTGGGGGCTTGGAGCTGCTACATGAAGGGTGACAGAAAAAGAACTGCTTCTGTATGGCAACCAAAGGCTCTCTGAGGAAAACACATCACTGACACAAGCCCTTCTGCTCTCTCTACCATGAGAAGTAACAGAAAATATCTGTGTAGGTTGATATGACCTATTTCTGTGTGTTTCTGTGTATGTGTCTACCTCATCCACAGGATGGAACGAGTCAGAGGACATAAGTCTAATGGACCTTCCAAGCCCTGCTGCACACGCATGCTTCTGTGTAAGTGTATGTATTGAAGGGTGCCTACATGTGTGACACGTTTATCTGCTTAATAGGTGTCTTAATGTCTTCATACAGCATTGATCTATACAGTTAAACGAGGACACTACTAATCGTGAGGTGTGTGCCTTTTGTGCTTTTGTGTATGTGAGCTGTACACGGTGCAAATGAGCTGAGAAGGTCCCTCTTTGTCATCCCCTCCTGTGGATACAGACCCCTTATCTAAACCCGTCAACCTAACCATCCTGCTACCTCCACCCACAAGTCCCACATCACCACACAACGTCACAACACCGACCAGCCCACCCCCACTTTCCACAAAAAGAAACAGGAACAGAACCAAAGAAACAATGACACTAAAAGTTTACACCACGTTGATAATTTAAATCATTGTTCTAGATAGCCTTCCCCCCCAAAAAACCCACATCACCCATAGAAGACTTGGGTGAAGATGGGGGCCTTTCTGACCTTGTAGGCCACCCGAGCTGGACACCTCTTCCCGAGGCCTAGTGGAGGACTCATGTGCCTCAGCATGTCATACATTTCCCTGCAACTGATCCTGCCACTGCATCATCAGCCATGCCACCACCCCGTTAACAAGAAAGAGAGAGATGCAGATATTCCAAGAAGGAGAAATACAATGGAGAGAGAGTGAAAGAGTAGCAGAAAAGATTTTAGAGAAAGATAGACAGAAAGCAAGAGAGAGAGAGAGAGATGACTGAAACAATGTTTAAAAAAAACAACAACAACAGAGAGACAAGGTTATTGGGAGGATTTGGAGAGACTGTTTTGGCTGTGTGGCTTCTCTTTGAGTAACAGTACTCTCTAACAGGTTGTCATATCAGAGAACAGGGTAAATGACAGTGGATAGGGAGGCGAGCAAGAGGAAGAATTTAAGGAATAAATATCCTCTTGTAGTATCAGAAGATAATTCTGTGCAAGAACAGAACAGGCAGAGCCTGACAGCGGGCACCAAGCTGCTCCTGCTCAGACAGGAGAGGAAAAGGAAGAGGAAGGAGTGAGGGAAGAAGTGTCAATGCAGTTTCTGTCGTTCCCCCAACCCCCCAACAACCAAGAACAATGCAACACTACAGTGGGCGACCGTAGCTTGCTACATTATAGCCATGTCTCCACAGCAAGCAAAAGGAAAAAAAATGCTCATATATTAAAAAAAAAAGATTATTTTTTCCAACATGATAGAACGCCTTGATGTGAATTACCCCTCCCTATTTCGGTTAATGCATTTCGCATGCTTCTCTGGGTGTCTGCATTGTCCCGCACATTCTCTCGGCAGTTCAGAATGCAAGTCGATAATGGTGGAAACAAAGTTGTAAAGTTGAAATGAAGAAGAAAACAAAGCGGCATTCACTCCATTCCTGGATGCTGTGGCTAGCAAGAGTGATTTAAGAAGTTTTGTTTGAATGGAAGTCAAACCTTGCAGGCCACCCTATGGGGGCATTTCTTGCCTAAGCCAAGAGGCGGGTCGATAACTCGTAATAAACTGTACATGTCCTTATAATGTATGCGCCCGCTGCAAGAAGAATACAGGGAGTTAACAAACACGCGCACACACACACACACACACACACACACAAGAAAAACACATGCACGCGCACACACACAGGCACACACATCAAGAAAGAAGAGGGGACATTGGGAGGAAGAATACAAGATTGACAAGAACACAGTATCTGGAAATACTTTACAATATAGAAGAACTGTAAAAACTGACTCTTACGACATCACTTGAATGCACTTATACAAACTCTACATGCACATACAGAAATAGCAGAAACATAACTGAATGGCACATTCTGTTTAAAGTTGTCCTAAACAGTGCCTTCTTATTGTATTCTCTTCTTCTTCTTTGTTTATTACTTGGTTTCCTTAGAGGTTAAAAAATAGCATGTTAGTCTCAAGAAAGGCAATCCTAACACAACTGTACAATAGAAATGGTGCACAGCATATTTATTGCACACCATATTATTTGTATTTTCTATTTATAGTAGTGCATTCTATAGGAAGGCATGAGGGAAAAACACAGGCACTGGAATACAGATACCATGAAACTTAGCATGTCTACAATATACATTTGGACTACACGGAAGCTTCAGTTTCGAGTGTAGACGTTGCCGTGTTAAGTTTTTGACAGTATACCGATTCCAGAAGAGGGAGAGTGTTAGGAAGGGGTGAAGGGAGTTTACAATAAAGGCGAGGACAGAGTGGGAGGGGTTGTACGGTGTGAGAGAGATAACCAGATGTCTGATGAGGTTATACTCAGATCCGTTACAGCCCCCTTGCAGCTATTTCTTTAGTAAATTAATGTTTTAAAAAGCCGATGCTTGTATGTGTTCAATTCTCTTGTTCACTGTATCACTTTAAAAAGAAGTCTTCACACCAAAAAAAGAAAAGAAAATCTCAAAATTAAGGTGAAGTAGCCGCTTTAACTTCTTGCGTCTCTCTGTGTGGGCAAGCTTATTAAAATATAGAGAAAAAGATGCATTAAAGGTGTCTAAATATCAGGTTTTAAATAGTGTCTTTGTTGTTGTATGTACAAACTCTTAAAAGTATATTTTTATGAATATATGTGCAAGTACTACATGTGTAAACAGATCTGTTCCTTGTGCTTGTGCCTCTTTACACCTGAGTATAGGCGTTATATAACTCACCAGGCAGCAGGGTCATACTCCGCCCATATCCTGACATACTCATCCAAATGGTGAGGTCCTAGTATGGATGAATCTCTAGTCAGGTACTCAAAGTTGTCCATGATAACAGCTACAAACAGATTCAGCATCTACGCATGCATGCACACAAACACACACAGCGACACACATACAAACAGAAAAGTTACAAAAAAAGTTACAAACAGCCACTGATTTCACAAAATCACTGGTTTAATAGCTGTGACGTGAAATGCTAATTTACTTAATCAGCTTTAACTAAAAGATGGACAATTTTATGTTATTGTTAGTCTTGTTATGTCTTATTATGTCATATTACGTTATACCAAGTTATGTCATGCAATTTTACAATATGTCAGGTTACAATGTGGTATTTCATGTTACGTTATGATATACTATATCGTGAAACATTATGTTACGATGTTATGATCGGTCACATGATGTTATGTTAAGTTTTGTCAAGTCATCCTATGTTGTGCTGTCGTGTTATGCCATCCCTAGTTATGTGTATGTTATAATGTGTTTTGTCATGCTGTGTGGCATTGCATTGCACTGTGTTGTGTCATGTAATGTTATATTATGTTATGTCGATCAGTAACTGGGATAACCCGGGGGCTCACCAAGAATGAACAGAAGAAGATGAACGACACAAAGTAGAGGTAGGCAAACTGGCTGCCACAATCTGGATCTACATTCCCTGACTTGAGGTCACAGTCCTTACCCCCAAGACACGCCAACATGATCTCGTGCCATGCCTCACCCGTTGCACTCCTTCAAACATACAAAAAGATTATTTTACCTATCCAGAATTGAATGACCTCAAGAGAGACTGGGGCATGCATGGAAATGTATATTATAGGTTTACAGAGTTACATATAAAAGCACCTAAAGAGAAGCATAAGAGCCTCTACAAAGGTCCTGAAGTTGTTATGTTGGTTGATGGCACTGTCTCCAACTTCTTCAATTGCAATATTCCCAAACAGCTGTCAAACACAATGATACTGTTAAAAGTGAAAACTAGACGATGGTTGTTGATCGCTGAACATTTAGTCTTTTTTGCCACAAAAACATACAGGAACAAAGATTATAAGTAACAATCTGAAACTAAGACATAAATCCCATTTTGACATTTTTGTAATGTTCCTTCTCTTGCTATTATACTCCAAATATGATCACTCTTTTCACTATCATTTAGTATGCTGCACTCCTCGTCATTATAGTTATACTATAAAATATATTTAATGCGTCCCAGCAGCACTGGAGCAAGTTTTAGGTTGAGGTTCTCACCCACCTGCATCCCAATGATGGCGTAGATGAAAAACAGCATGGCAATGAGGAGGCAAACATAAGGCAGTGCCTGAAAAGAGACACAATAAATGTTAACTAATAAGCTAGATCCTGCATCTATCTATCTATCTATCTATCTATCTATCTATCTATCTATCTATCTATCTATCTATCTATCTATCTATCTATCTATCTGACACCTGGTGGAATATCTCACAATTAATAAGTGCCTCTATTGGTCTTATGAAAATCCCTCCATGGACTCCAGAAATTTCTGAAAACCATTGTTTTGAAATCCAAGTTAAAAGTTTAACCTCAAACATGCAGTGAAAAAAAATATGAAGACCTCCGTCCTCGCTTGGCTCCTTTGTATGATACACATACACTGTACCTTTAACCACGACAATGCTACCAATGTTAGGAACAGCTTCCTCTAAAAGAATTGCTGGCAGCCAATTTAAAATGAATAATGCCTTTTAACAACACGTTTTACAGTTTAATATAAGGTTCAAATCAAAATCAAATTCTTTTTTTTAATATACTTTTGCACTGCACCAAAACCTCTTTTGTAAAAGGAAGGGATCTATACAATGAATACACTGCACTGACATGTAGCGTCTACACATATCAATGCATGTGATTTTTCAGGGTAATAAGCTGTATAATTGGAAGCAAACCTTGAAAGACTGAACGAAGGTCCAGAGCAAGATTCGGATGGTTTCTCCCTGTCTCAGCAGTTTGATGAGACGAGCTGCTCTGAACAGCCTTAGGAAACTTAGGTTGATGAAATTATTCTACAATACAGCCACAGTATAACCAGAGAAATGGGGGAGTTGAGGAAGGGAAAAGCAAGGGAAAGAGAACAGAAATAAAGGATTGTGAAAAGGGAACAAGAGGGGGGATTGGGGAATGGAAAGGGAAGGAAAATAGTTAGTCGTACTTCAAATTATGCAGGCAATCTTCCTTACAGACGAATAAAAAAATGAGAAGAAAAACAGTCAAATCCAAATGAAAGAAGATTCAAACTCAATACAAATAATAATAAAAAATATCAGGAGCCAAACAAGTCAAAGCAAACCAAACTCAAATCAGCAAGGCTCCAAACAAGCTTTTCATATCCAGTAATGTAGAATCAAACCATACAACACAGGGGAAAGGAAATCATCCAGATCTAACCAGTTTCATCCAATTGGGATATATGTTTTTAGTAATTGTGTTAGGACTGGTGAGGAGTTAGAGTGCAGGGACTTCAGGACACTTCTTGGAAAGACAACCAAATGCACTAATTCTCCGAAGGCAAAATATGCAACGTTTCAAATGAAGCAAGCCGCAGCATGCAGATGTGAACCAAACACAAGGCAAAGCAGCCAATGCAAGGCAAGCAAAAACGGCAGCTCATGCACCATCCAATAGGACCGACTGCCAAAGTCATGTGACATACAATAGTGATGTCACTGTCAAATAAGAGCAGAGGGTGGTTCAAGGACCAACAAAGGTCATTACTACATAAGTGAATTTCTTTAGGTTACCATTTTCCACTCTCATCAGACTGAACACGTGACTAATAAACTGTACATAGTTTAGCAGATAAATCTATTAGACTGCAGGTTGAGATGTGAAGTGCTCAAAAGTAACTGGTAGCAGCACATGCAGGCTTTATTCAATTACTGCTTATATTGCATTGCTGCATGTTTCTGTGTGTGTCTGTGTGTACAGGGGTTTCTGCCAGTGGCATGCAATGGGCAACATGCATCACTTGTTCTTCCTGCCACTGTCAAAGCTTTGGATTTAATATGTTGTTACTAGAAACACTCTCCCAGCAACTTTTATACATATATGTGGATAAATTTTACCATCTACTGTAGTTTCTAAAACCCAATCCTTTACAAACCGAATATTAGTGTTGAGTAAAGGATATATTTCAGGACACGTTTGTGGAGATATACAGTGACTAGCTGGGAGATAACAAACGCAAATGTACAAGTTAAGGGTTCAGAGTGATCATAGCAAAGCAGTCAAGCAAACTGTACACATTCCAGAGCCAGAACGTTGACTGGGATGCAGCTGAAACACATGCAGTAAAATAAGATCTCCAAAAAATTACAAACCATCTACATGTGGATGTTGCAGAGTTATGGTTTATAGCAGCAAATTTTTGGATTATTGGTTGGTTCGAAGAACAACCAGAGAGATTGACCAAGCCAGTTGTCATGGGTGGACACAGAGGAATCATAGTGCATTTTGATTGGATGGAATCACAGCAAGTAGTAGGTGTTGAGGGGAGGAGGGGATTGGAGAAGTAGATTACAGTAGATCGTCGTTAAGTTTGAGGACGATTTAAAGAAAGCATGTGAAAAGATAAAAACAAGAAAGAAATCAACAGTCATTCAAAGAGAAATTAGCACAAAGGTAAGTGTCTGTAGATTTTACACATTCATAATGCTGATACCAAGAATCAAGGCAGCATGAAAAAAGAAAATACATGGATTCTAAAAATCCATGACTGTATGTCGATACATAAGTGAATGAAATCTTGAGTAGAAATAATCAAGACCAAATGAACAAAGATTCACGCTCTGTACCAATTAATAAATAAATAAATAATAAAAAAAATAACCAGGAGCTAAACAAGTCAAATCAAACCAAACTCAGAAATAGAAGATTTTCCTATCCAGGCAGGTAGAAACAAACAATACAACACAGGGGAGAGGAAATCATCTAACCATACTCAATCAACTGGGATCTATATTTTTATAATAATGGTAAGATTGGTGAGGCATTAGAGTGGAGAGACAACAGGGCATCTCTTTGAAAGGCACTAATTCTCAACCTTTCTAATGAAGCAAGCTACAGTACTAAGATGTGACCCACATACAAGGTAACCAAAAACTCATACACCACCCAATAGGACTGACTGCCAAAGTCATGTGATATATAGTAATGATGCAACTGTCAAAGAAGAGCAGAGGTGGTTATAATAATGTAATGTTTGCAATGTAGGTGGATTTTCCACGTAGTTGAGGCAAGAAATATACAGAGCACATAGCCTCCACTTATTACTGCTTATATTGCATTATTATAAATTGTTTAAAAAAAGAGAGAAAAGCCTTTCAGTAGTAATTGTTACATTGGCTCTTGATTCTTGGTTACAGCTGCAAATACTCTACAACTCTGACTTCAACATTATTGGGGATAGTTTTTGAATTTCTTCTTAAATTAATTCTGTCCAAGAAATGGCTTCATCTCCTAAATACAGATTATGTACAGGGAGTGCAGAATTATTAGGCAAGTTGTATTTTTGAGGAATAATTTTATTATTGAACAACAACCATGTTCTCAATGAACCCAAAAAACTCAGTAATATCAAAGCTGAATGTTTTTGGAAGTAGTTTTTAGTTTGTTTTTAGTTTTAGCTATTTTAGGGGGATATCTGTGTGTGCAGGTGACTATTACTGTGCAGAATTATTAGGCATTATTAGGCAACAAACAAAAAACTCACTCTCATTTCATCAGTCTTGACGTTTCAGCTTGTGTGTCTTGTTCAGTGGTGGTCGTCTTTCAGCCTTTCTTACCTTGGCCATGTCTCTGAGTATTGCACACCTTGTGCTTTTGGGCACTCCAGTGATGTTGCAGCTCTGAAATATGGCCAAACTGGTGGCAAGTGGCATCTTGGCAGCTGCACGCTTGACTTTTCTCAGTTCATGGGCAGTTATTTTGCGCCTTGGTTTTTCCACACGCTTCTTGCGACCCTGTTGACTATTTTGAATGAAACACTTGATTGTTCGATGATCACGCTTCAGAAGCTTTGCAATTTTGCGACTGCTGCATCCCTCTGCAAGATATCTCACTGTTTTTGACTTTTCTGAGCCTGTCAAGTCCTTCTTTTGACCCATTTTGCCAAAGGAAAGGACGTTGCCTAATAATTATGCACACCTGATATAGGGTGTTGATGTCATTAGACCACACCCCTTCTCATTACAGAGATGCACATCACCTAATATGCTTAATTGGTAGTAGGCTTTCAAGCCTATACAGCTTGGAGTAAGACAACATACATGAAGAGGATGATGTGGATAAAATACTCATTTGCCTAATAATTCTGCACTCCCTGTATTCCTATCAATACCATCTGTTATTCAGAGTTTACTTCTTATGCAACAAGAGTCTTTTCTTAAAATATGTCCCAACAATATACAAAGAACATTTGTACCAACCTTCAAATATTAGCTTTAGGTTGAGTCTCTCTGATTACCTTCTGTATGTAGATTTATACAAATGTACTATTTTTGGGGTTCTACGTTTAAATAGATTTTTAGGATTGAACAAGTGTTTCACAAATGATGCTCAACCCAGTTTCATGCATCACATAATAAATGCACTGACACACAATTTCATCTCCTTAATGGACATAGTGAGGTAATACAACATTTGAAAAATCTGAATGCAGGTCCTAAATAAACTGAATTAACTCATTTTGTTTACTTGGTTCAGCGTGTCATTACAGGCAATTTGGTGCAATATTTAGCAAAAATGTAATGCTGCACACCAAATCTAGGGCACTCATTCATCATTGATCTTAATATACCCATAATGTTGTTGATGCTGTTGTTGTTTCAGGTACTTCTGATGCAGTTACAAACTGATGCACCCACTGACCACCCTAATATTATAACAAACTAAAAGGCTGCTTGGAGAGGCTATGGCTCACTATAGGTAATCAGCATGCTTCCTGCCTTCCTGCCTGTCAGTGGCTCGGCACTGGTTGGCTGTATTCCCATCCCACCAACTGGGACAATTATATAAGACTTTCAAGAGATACTCATGCATGACTGAGCAACTCAACACTGGCCTCTAACTCATGCTCTCTCCTTACTCCTTGTCTTGTCTACTTAATGTTTTTTAGATGGTGAGGCAGATGTGAAAGTCCACAAACACATTCTGAAGTTCACCAAACATACCTCAGTCATGCCTGTTTAAGAAAGAAACATGCTAATGTAATATCACATCTGTTTGCTTCCAGTTTGACTTTTCAATACAGGAGTGTAAAACATAAACATCTGTACACAGACACCTCAAAATCTGGTACTTACCCCAAGCTCAGTAACGAGGATGTCTGTAATGCTGCCCAGAACTGTCACACAGTCAAAAATATTCCAGGCATCTTTGAAATAATTCTGTGATCAGCATAAGAGAGAGGGAAAAAAGAAGTACAAGAAAGCGAGAGAAAGAAGAAGAGACGAGACAGGGACAGAGAAGAACAACGAGCAGGATAAAGGAGAAAAAAGGAGGATATGAGGTGACATGAGGGAAGAGTGACACAGTAAAAAGCAGAAGAACATTGATGTGGCAAGGAAGCAGACAAAGAGTAAGGAGGGGAAGAGATAAAGATTGACAGAGAAATTGAGCAACGCAACGGGATGGAGCGCAGACAGATCACATGAAAATAACAAGCAAAAGGATGTATAAGTCATATTTAAATGAAAAACCATACCAAGGAGAAAAAAAAGTAAGAAGTAAAGAATTAGAAAATGAGACAAGGACAGAAAAATACAGAAGGGGAACAAGAAAGTGGAAGAAAACAAATGTCAGTGTAGGACAGGAACAGGAAAGAAATTAGATGAGACAAATTGACCATCAGTGAAGGGAAGCTGGAAAGATACCAGCACACCAGGGACACATTGTACTGCATCACAAGACTATAACATCCATCAAACAACACATACAGTACAGCAAAAACCAATTTGAATTTCTTTCAGTTTCAAAAACTTTTAAAAATTCTATTATAGCCCTCCATTTATAGATATATATGCAAAAAAAATTTCAATCTATATTTGATTAGAGATTTTCTAAAGCATTCTTTCAATAAGTGGGGACACTCAAAGCAACGAGTCATGTAATACTCGGGACAAAATGCTAATAAGCCTCTGCTTCTTTGCTTACCCACATATTGCCTGGAGCCAAATTGTGCATTAGACAAGTGGAAGGACCAGGGGAGAGCAAGGGAGGCGGATATTAAAATAAACCACTTTGACACACACACACACGCACGCACATACACACACACGGACACTAATATCTCTGAGGGCTGGGATTATGTGTGCTTACGACATGCCTAATACGTACATAAGTTTATCCATGAATCAGAGCTGATGCTGTCTACTCACCACCCGCTCTCTAATCTTTGCTTCTCTTTTGGCCGCCTATATGTCACTCACTTTCATTTTTTCAGTTAATATATTATAATCCCACCTCTGTCTTTTATCACCTCCCATTCATTGTCAAACTATCTCGTCTGTACTTTTTTCTCTCATCTGCATCTTTTGCCGGTAAAATAACTTTATCACTGATTTTTTGTAGCTTCTGATTTGTTTAAATTTTTGGTTTTGTAACTGAAAAACAAATCATTTGATTATTGCCAACAATCTGAATAGCATTAGACAGTGTAATACATAGATTGGTGGAGAAAGTGGGGGATACAGGGTAATCTAGTTGAAAGTCAGGCCCAGATGAAGAGCTGTTTTTGGCTGTAAACGTTTTCAGTTTTTTGTTTTGTTTAGTATATGGGCATTCTGTTCATTTTAAATGGTAAAATTCATTCAATACAGAAAAAAGGCATGGAAATAAATATGTATATATGTTCTTATTGGCTTCTCGTATTTTTACAGAGCAGTACATCGTCGCCACACATAAACCCAGAAATACTCACCAGTGCTCCAAAGGCGATGATCTTGAGTACACACTCCATGGAGAAGAGGGAAGTAAACACTATGTTCAGGTTGGCTAACACAGCTTCATAGGTGTCGGAGGCTCCGTAATACTGTAAACAAAAACACACATAGGCAGTACCTCTCTCAGAAAAGCAGAAGTATTTGAATCATTCCAGACTAGTAAAGGCTGCTTGTATTTTTTTTAAGGCGCAGGCAACAAGAGCTAATGGTATAAATTTAGACGTTAAGTTCAGCAACTCGGTGGCTGTCTTGGTGTTTATGTTGTTCTGTGCGTTACTTATTCCTTTTTTGGAGCTTTCAGGCCTTTACCTTCATCATCAGCACGATTGTGTTGAGCGCGATCATCGCCATGATGGTATACTCAAATGGCGGTGACACCACAAACTCCCACATACGGTACTGAAAGCTTAGCTTGTTTTGTGGCATGTGGCGTGTCAGAGGCTTGGCGTTGATGGCAAAGTCTATACAGGCTCTCTGTCAAAAACACCAGAAAAAGACATTTTCGGTTTGCATCGTGCCTTTCCATCATGCAACGCTCCAGTTTCGGAATCCTTGCTCACCTCATTCTTTTCTAAACTGTAATCTTCCATCATCTTGTCGCCTTGTTCCTGGAAAGTGATGATAATGAGAGCTACGAAGATGTTGACGAAGAAGAAGGGGAAGACCACGAAGTACACCACGTAAAAGATGGACATCTCCATCCGGTATCCTGGACTTGGGCCCTGATTCTCGTAAGTCGCATCGACCGAGTGTTTCAGCACCCTGAAGTGACAGTGAAGTATTGTTACAGGTTGTCAATATCCACACTTGCTCTATTTATGAATGAATATATTCACATATAGGCTACTCACTGCGGCCACCCCTCTCCAGTAGAGACAGTGAAGAGGGTGAGAAGGGCCCAAGCCACATTGTCGTAGTGGAAATCGTACTTCTTCCACTCCCGCTTCTGCGCCCTCACTTCGTTATCACGTTCGTACACCAGATACTCGCCTCTGAAAAACACAAAATCAGCACAAGGACTGAAAGGAAAAAAACTTATAAACGTTTGCATTAGGTATGACACAGAGGATGGAGAGGAGACACTTTAATCTTTAAGGATTAAACCAAAAGTTATGCAGGTCACCAGGACATTTTCACAGCGCAAGGTGAAAGGAGTTGTTTTTTTTTTCCTGACCTGCAGTCGCGCTCAAATTCTTTGGATTCATCAGTGCAGTAAAAAAAACGCCCCTTGAAGAGCTGAACAGCAACCACAGCAAAGATGAACATGAAGAGTAAATAGACGATCAGGATGTTGAGCACATTCTTCAGAGAGTTCACCACACAGTCAAACACAGCCTGAGGACAAAGCAAGAGAACAACATAATATTAGGGGGGGTTAAAGAATAATAGATGATGGTAGATCAGGGTGTAATTTGTTTAATTTTCTTGGTTGTTGTACTTACCTTAAGGTAGATTTCATCAATAATCTGTGTAAAAGTGAAATATAAGTAATGGAGTCTCTTTGCTGCGCAAGCGTACCTTGAGTTTGGGAAGTCGTTTAATAGTCTTTAGAGGTCGTAGCACCCTCAGTACCCTCAGCGACTTGATGGTGCTGATGTCTTTTCCCTTGCTGTTCCCCCTACACGTGTTTACACACCAAAAACAAAGAAGACATACATGTACACACAGGAGAGTGAAAGTTACAAGTCTCAGCAGACTTAGTATACGCAGCACATGAAAGCCTTAATCCTCTCGATTCCAAAATGGCGATGGGCAGCCATTTCTTGATGGCATGTGTGTCCGAGTTAACTCAAAATCAATGAGTAACTACGTCTGGGTTAAGTGCATAGCAACGCATGCAGCATTGCTATCATATTACGCTTTAGCCTTATTCCTAAGTGTGAGGATAATATCGTAGCTACATGCTAGAATTAGGTGGGGATTTATAACTAGAGTACATGCTATGGGAACAACTGATATCATTCCTGTCTGAATGCTATCTCCCTTGTGTAGTGTTTTGCAATGTATTTCAATGCCTTTCAAAAACACTAAAGCCTCAGTTTGCCCATGCGCAGTTAATGGTGAAATCTGTTCATGCTGCATTGAAACCTTGCTTTCCATGCTGCAGTATTTCTTCTTTTAAGCAGCAGTTTGAGGGGTGGAGAAATTTATTCTATAGAGAGACATTTAGAGAGAGAGAGTTTAGCTGTAGTCTCAGCGAGAACAAAATTGTATTCTGTCGTAGGGCAGTTGAGTAAGAGGAGCAAAGCAAGGGGCTCTTCTGCTCGTCACCGTAAATGCGTTAAAAGTTTTAACACATTTTCAAAACGCCTTCAATTTCAAGCATATGCCACAATTTGGTAGTGTCGTTGTGCTTAAAAATGGGAAAAACTTTTTAAATGAACAGCCAAACTCTCTCTTGATGACTCATCTAGTTAATTTCTATAAGCTCCAGGATTAGCTTGTTTCACAGCATTGTTCAGACAGCATGGAATCTTGTCTTGCATGGTTTTTGGCCAAGACAAAGATTTTATAAAGCATTTCCCAATGAAATGCTGAGCCAAACCTCTCTTTGTTTTTTTCACTTTGGCAGTGTAACTGTCCAGGCACATATGCCATAGAGTGTTAAATTATAATAGACCTCAAAGGCTATGTTCAGACTGAAGACATGGCAGATTTGTTCCTTAAATCAGATGTTGTGATCAGACTTTCCTTATCTTCAAGTGTTACAGTCAGATTTGTGCTTCCAGACATTACCAACCTAGCTTTATGGGTTTCTGTGGTAATGCCATAGGTATCTCTCTAGCTATAGCAAGTAGCTTGAGATCCCTAGCTACTTGCTATAGCTTCCAAGGTGAAAGGTGTTGTTGTCCAAACTTTCTGAATAGGTTTCTGTAATCTAGACATGTCAAATACTGGATTTGGGCTGGCACTGTGTACAAGGCTGCAGGAGCCTAAAGAAACAATGCAGGAGTTAACTGATGCTGACTTTATGTAAACTGGCTGCGATTAGTTTAATAGAAAATTTGACTGTAATTCAAATGCCCTGATTTTAACAAATCCTCACATATCCAGTGTACAGATCAGGGTGAAGAGGTCACTGAAAGTGATCCTTAGGGGGGCAGCAGCTGTGTATACAGCTGCCTGTGTCTTACAGCTGTTAGACCAGATGGCAGACTGGTGGTGGCTGTGTGTGTATTTGCACACAACCACCACTAATGTGTGTATCTGCATGAGTGTGTGTGTGTGTATGCAAATCACTGTGTCTGTGTTTTTATCCATCTTTGGTTAAAAGTTTCTTTCTTGATCATGTTCATATCCATATTTATTGAAATAAAAATGTGTGGAAAAACCTGCAGTTAAAGCACAAATATCTCCTTTGCATCTGTGTGAATCAGCTGAGGACCTGACAGAAGTTAAGATGAGGTTTAGTTGGGTTTGAGTCCGAGTTGTTCCATGGTGAACAATGGATTTTAAAAAAAAAAAGAAAAATAATATAGACAGATACACATTTCAACTTTGACAATGGATGAATGAGAAGGAAAGAGATGTGTGATCAGAGAAACAGATACCAAGAGTGCAGAAGAAGAAAATGAGGAGGAAAAAGTGAGAGAACTTTACCCGCTGCCGCTGCTGCTCGTAGTCCGAAGAGAGATATGAGTAAGAGGTGAGAACAACAAGACAGAGGAGACAAGGTGGGATAAAGAAACAGAATGGGACACAGAAAAGGAAGGATTTTGAGGGAAACATCCATATGAGAGAGAGAAAGGGGAAAAAAGAAAAGACAGTACCTTCTCTTGTTAGATCAACCAACCTACTCACACATTCAGATAATCTCTTACATTCACAATTTAGCCCCCCCCCCCCCCAAAAAAAACAAAACAAAAAAAAACAACTGCTTGATGAGTGTGCAAGATTTCAAATGGTAACTAGTGCTACTCTGAAAATGATCTAATGTGTAAAACGTCATGATTAACAATTAAATATTCAAATTACTATTATTAAGGACCAGCAAGCCCACATATAAACTTATTTCAGGCACATAGCAGAGTAAACACTACCTGGTGAAAAAAAACATCTTAGAATGTCAACGTGCGCCTCAAGGCAAACCAAACTTGATTAGTCATCATCTCTGACTCTGAGCCTGTCTGGATCTGAACCTCAGTCTGACTGCAGAAATATGAAGGACAGCTGCATAAGTGGTCCAAGACACAGCAGCCCTCAGACCAGAATAATTTGATTAAGGGAGTGATAAACATCTCCAACAAGACTTCTGATCGCTTCAGGAGTGCTGTTTGATTTCACCAATTGAATTAAGGTACTATCTGGATGGGTAGGAATCTTTTCTTACTGGTTCCGATCTCCCATCAGCCATTAGCATGATAAACCTCTACTATAGTCAAATTGGGCTTGTTTGTTCGTTTTCTTCAGATTAAGGCTACATTATAATTCATACTCAACATTTCCACTGGATGAATTTGGTCTTGCAGAGAAGATACACAGAGAAAGAAAATTCAGCAGTGAAACAGAAAGAGGTTGGGACACACAGAAAAGGTGGAGACAAAGATCTCTGTATATACAAACAGAGAGACACAAATTCAACTAAAATGAGGGGAAAGAGTGTTGGTTAAAACACACACACATATAAAGATGATTCACAAAGAGTGAACGTCTTGACAATGGATCACCTCTACCAGAACCGTGGAGCACCTGCCATGTTCATGAGTTCTTAATTCAGCTGGACTTTAACAATGTACTACGGCATAGTTATAAAGTGAGCAGATAAGCTGGACAACCTAGTTTATGTTAGATTAAACCAAAACTATTTTAGCATAGCTGCATTTGAAAGCTGGAAGGTTTTTATTAGTTGAGATTATTGGTAACTTGTTGGGTTTAACTCTTACCCACTGGTGGGGATAGACTGCTGAAGGCACAGACCTGAATCTTGGTGAAATAATTCACGACTATTCCTAGTGACCGTGCCAAAATTTCTAACATTTTTGCCATAGTTCCAGAGACTCTCATTAATTTCAGTAAACAAATTACCGAATGACAAAAAAAGCCTATTTCTTCATTTAAGCGTGCAGAATATTTTCTTCGGTATATCTGGAGAAATACCCGTGAAAGTGCAATGTTTCACAGACTTTTCCGAGACCAGAATGATGAGAAAACTAAGTACATTTTGAGTGTCGTCGTGATGTATGATAAAAAGAGGTGGAAGAATGGACACAAAGTGCAGAGGAGGAGCAGTTCAGTAAAGGTGGCATAAAAGATGGGTCATTAGGACCGCAAAAAAAACCCAACTGTTTGAGGAGATCTGAGGGGACAACGTCACAAGATATCATTCTGGGACTATGAAAATCCAAGGTGTCATCTTTAGTTCAAGTCATTACTCAAGTGTCAGTTTTATTCAATTCAATTCAATAAAACTTTATTGATCCTGAAGGTTGACCCCGAAGGAAATTGGGTTAAGGCTGCCGACCTTTGCCAGCGCCGACTTACCCTTCTGACCATACATACATTACACAAACATCACATGGGGAAGACAGGTCGGAGAGGTATAAAGTCAAAAGTTCAAAATGTATTAATTTATTTGTATCACTTAGCTATTCCCATATTAATTTGCAGTATATTAATCGAAGACCTCAAGTGGTTAGATACAGACCACACTCACAGAGTCTCTGAAAGTTTCTCATTTCAGTTCAGTTTAAATAAAACTGTCAAATATATTCGGATTAATACAAATTCTGTACTGTATCACCTATTTACACTTACAGGAGCTGCTCAGCCTGGAAACCCATACTATGAAGCTCCTAATTCATAGTTTTTGTGTCGTTGTTAAATTCAGAGGAGGTTGGGAACTCTGCAGCAGTGCGTTGGTGACTTTTCTACACTGTGTACCTGCCTAACCCTGCTTTGTAACTTGTAAGGTCTGCCATATTGTGGTTGTGGTCCATTTTGCAATAATACCAGTTACGGTTGACTGTGGAATATTTAAAAGGGAAGAAAGTTCATGAACTGACTTGTTGTAGGTATGGTGTCTTATATTATCACCATGCTTAAATTCACTGAACTCTTTAGAACAACAAATTTTGTAAAGGCAGACTGTATGGCTAGGTGCCTGATCTGTGGCAAAAGCTGTAGTTAAAAGAGTGTGAAGCCCAAAACTTTTGTCCATAAGTGTATGTTACTGGTGTTTAAGTTAAAATGAGCAGAGCATCCTCCATCCAAGAGGCTCCAAGTCCACCAACTTCAATGACCCAACACAGAAGAATGCTAGGTGCCTTATAATCCAAGTGCCCAAAAGCTCATAGCAGTTTAAGCTATGTAGGTTTGCTTTCAGTCACTTCCACAGTAAAAACAATATCCAGTGTCTTCACATATTGCAGACCTGTGTAAAAATCTATGGTATATCATTATCATTAATTTGAGAGCACAAATATATTATGCGGAAACATATCTACTAGGGGTGCAACAATACTCGTATCGATATTGAACCGTTCGATACAGTGCTTTCGGTTCGGTATGCATATGTATCGAACAATACAAAATTTTTTATTTATTTGATCAACTTTTCTTCTGACCATGCTGTCTGTGTTGAGCGCTCAGTGGATGTGCGTTCGACTACTCCGCCTAGGCTGCACTGTCGAGTGCAAATCCACTGAGCGCAGCGCGAGCTAGCAAGACAGAAGCTAAGCTCGTTGCAACATGGCAACTGCCTTAACGCTACCCGAAATTGAACCTCCCCCACCCTCATTCAGAGCTGGCGTTTGGTACTATCTTGGTTTTCATGTGAAGCATGACCCTGATGGTAAGCGCGTCATGGACAAAAGTAAAACAGTATGTCGGATGTGCCACGCAATGCTCAATTTGTGGGAACTAGTGCGTTAGCACAGTTAGCTTGTTAACGTGTTAACGCCATCCAGCCCCACGCACGGGGCGATCCATGGTAACTTGTTAATGGAGATTTGCCGCGTTATGGCGTTAATGTCATTTTAACGAGATTAACGCTGACAGCACTAGTGGGAACACAACAAATATGACTGCACATTTACGCCGACATCATCCTAGTGCAAAGACAAGTGGAAGCAGACAAAAACAACAAGCGCGCATGCTACAAACTTTACCCGGATCATTTGGACAGAGCACATGATTCTCCTTAAGGGGACCTGATATGTTTAATATGCTGCTGAGAATATAGCCCAGAAGAAGCGTATAGTATAGCTTTTATTTTGAAAAGAGCCATTTCTCTGTTATAAACTCTCTTTTCCAAAGATGAGTGATTTCTCGATCAGATAGATATTTTTATTATTATTATTTTGTTGTTTCAGCAACATTAAATTTAAAAACTGTACTTTTGAGTTAAAATATGGTAAATGGTAAATGGCCTGTATTTATATAGTGCTTTACTAGTCCCTAAGGACCCCAAAGCGCTTTACATATCCAGTCATCCACCCATTCACACACATATTCACACACTGGTGATGGCAAGCTACATTGTAGCCACAGCCACCCTGGGGCGCACTGAAAGAGGCGATATAAATATATATTTATAATTTTAATAAATGACAAATTAAAAAGGCATGAACATTTTTTTGTATCGAAAAAAATATCGAACCGTGACACCAAAGCATCGACCCGAACCGAACTCTGAATTTTGTGTATCGTTGCACCCCTAATATCTACATATATGTGTATATATTATATCCAAAACATGACATCACATTAATGCAGACTTCTAAATCTATAAATTGCTTTATATTCTCACATACCATGCAAAAGCAAAATTCATGCTTTGTACCAGCATAGCACTTATTATCTACAGCCTAACTCAGTAATCAACATGTAGTTGTATTTTTATCTTTACAGCCATGCAAATCAAGTAAAGATTAAAGTACCTGCTTTGTAGTAGAGAACGTAGTTGAGAATTTTGGTGACCTGGCCGGGGTTTGCATGGGCCCTTTTACTTTAGAACGCCCTGGGCACTAAAGGGTTACAGGTGCAAAGGGTGGTCCTCACCTCTCACATGGGGAGGTAGATAGGGAGAGGATGCTGGGATCTATTTTATAATGTGGGAGTGTTTACGCAGAAGCTGGAAGGAGCTTGAAATAGGAGGAGCTTAAAAATTAAAGGACTGCAGGAGCAAAATGTGAACGTAAGAGAAATGAAGTAAGGACATGGCCAAAAAAAGAGGACAGGTCTTTTGCACTCTAAATAAAGGTAAGACTTGGGTTTATGGTGGAGGATAACAGGACACAAGAGAATGAAAAAGTGCCAAGAAAGAAAATGTATGCGAGTGAATGAAAGAAAAGTGTGTAGGATAGAGAAAGTAGAGGCCAAAAATCAGCCATGGTTGAGTGAAGAAGAACAGGGGACGCTGTACTCCAAGGTACCAGTGAGAGGGGAGAGGAGCGGGAGAGGAGAAAAGAGAGCAGAGGGGGAAGCAGGAGGGAGACTTACGCTAAGGCGTAGGCGTAGGCCACCAGAGCACCACTAACCACTATAAAGTCAAGGATGTTCCACAAGTCCCGGAAATAAGAGCCCTGGTGCAAGACCAACCCCAGATCCACCATCTAGAAAAGAGACCAAAAACAAGGACCCATTACAGCCTTTATCAAAAAGAGGAGAATGTTTGTCTCAACACGGAGGAAAAATGCTGATTTGTCTCACCTTTACTAACATCTCAAAAGTAAAAACTCCTGTAAAGACGTAGTCAAAATACCGCAGAACCTGCACAAAGAAAAAGTGAGCATATGATGATTTTGTATTTTAGATAAGTGCAGTGTTGCACTTATTTTGCATCATCTGATATTATATTACTAAAGAAGGCAGTACTTTAAACTTCAACTGTTTCCTGTGCATGTGTGGTCTGTGAGTTTGTATCATTTTGCTGAGTCTGAACACAGAAAATCCTGAATATTGTGTGTGCCACTTAATTGTCTACCCACTATAAAACTGTCAATAATCATTTTAAGTGCTGGATTTATATGTTCTATCTCATACTCTATATAGTTAATTCATTTACTGCTCAGACCTCCACGCACGTAAGGCTTGGGAGATGGCAAAAATAACCTTGAGAGTAAATACAAAAACTAATAGATAAATTATATGCATAATATTTTTGTTGCCAAAAGAACCAATAATACATGTATGATGAATTTCTTACATCGTTTCGAGGGGAATTGGGCCAAACAGGGTCTTCAGCTGCCAGGGCAATACTGCTCATTGCAATGACCAGCAGGATGCACATCTCAAAATAACGCAGGGTGCAAATGTAATGGCATGCTCGTCGAAACCTAGGAGCAGACAAAGATATTTGTTTTTCTCTTGCATTAATGCAATGCATACCATTATGTTTAATTTATAACTATAATGAAGGCCATTGTGGAGGCTAAACAAAATTTAAATCCCTCTCAAATACTCAACTAATGTTTAAACAGCTCTGTGTTAATGTTTACACAAACTAGACCTGCTCATTTGCTAAAATTAGGCTTTGTGTCTTCAACAAATTTTAGCAAATGACCTCTTTTCATGCTATGCCAGCACAGTCTAGAATACATGACATCATAGCTGGACTGGCCATCGGGCGATTTTTTGTTTTTATGGGCCGATGGATTTTTTATTTTTTATTTTTTTTTAGGAAGGGTTTATATAATGAAAGGTGTTGGATTGGCCAATTGGTCATGATCGACTCTGGGCTGGACCAATTACAGCCGAGGAGGCCGAATGCACCCGCCCCCTTGTTTAGCAATCACGTGATTTTCGAGCATTGCATGCCGGGAACTCGTGGCAAAACAATCCAAGTACCGCATCAAACGCAAGCATTTGCAGCACCGCAAAACGTTCATTCTCCGGTTCCAATACCTTCTTGTTTTTTCTTTGCCGCACAAAAAAGGAATGTACAAAACGAAGGAGAACAATGCCGGTCCATACAAAGACAGACTCGACGAAAAGACAAAGAAAAGATACGAGGAAAAATCAAACCAGTGAAAGGGTTAGACCCTTACGAGCACACAGAGGGACAAAATACGTTAGCGTGCTGCCCAACTTTCACCACGCTCATATTTATAATTACACGGTTCTTGGGGTGAGTGCATACACTCATGAAGTTTAGTAACTTCAGGTCACTGCAACAAGCCCAGGAACAGTTTACCGACGGATGGGTACAGGACCTTGAAATGCACCGTGTAGAACGAAAGACCATCGTACGAACAAAGGTAAGTTTACCAGTCTCACAAATTGTCTTCGTAAATACACATTTGTTAACCGTTTATTAATAGGACCTTTGAGCTCAATGGTAATTAATTAGCAGTGGAAATAATTTCTGGTTCATTACAGAAATGTAGCAGTGACAATAATACTGTAGTATGCTGTAATCGCACTGGACAATTAGTGATACAAAAAAAATGTTTTATCCTGTGAATAAACGTATATGTTTTTGTCAATGTACCATAATAACAGAAGCGAAACGCAATATCCTGTCAGGACAATTCACTATTTATGCACAATAAATAAAGGAGCATAGCGCGACAATTTCTGTTCAGCGCCAGACTTGCTTGTAACCTATATCACCAATTATGTTGTGAAAATGACGCATTAACTACAACAGCAGACTGACCTTTGTGGGAATGCTTGGAGCAGACTAACCTGTGAGCTGGAGTGTTCTGGGACGTTATATTTGGTATATCCAGACCATCCGTCGGCTCTTACTTCGGAAACATGGCTTAAAACATTTCTCTTCAACGACGTAATCCGATTAAAAAAAAAACGATCGGCTTCCTGTGGCTGTCATGCGACCGGCTGTTGCAGTTAATAATACAACAGCTTCTTGCCATTTTTTGTGTTTCTTTTTATCGCTGTGTAACTGAGCTCAATTGAAAGCCTGCGTGCGCTAGTACCTCTTGCCACAAGTTCCCAGAATCCTTTGCGGTTTTACCCCTGAATGACGTCACATTTTCAATCTTTATCCTGGTGGGCCGGTCTCTAGTCAAAATGCCCGGGCCGATTTTTTGTCCCAGTCCAGCCTTGCATGACATTATGATTGAGCTTCATTTGAAATAGTTTTTGAGATAGTGACAGGCAAGTCAATCTTTCCATCAGCACTGTGGGCAATTGTGGGACCACAGTAGAAAAGCTAAAGTAAAGCAGGGTTTACCCAAATATCAATCTGGGAATCCATCAGTTTGTCAGTGGCCGGGCAGTGGCAGTCTTTTCTTGGTTTCTGGTGTAGCTATCAGGATCAGATAACTGATATGTGGTTCATGCCTCCATTTTCCATCCATTGGGCAAACCATTGTAAGGTACAGACAATTTAATAGACTGCTAAATCCACACCAAACTGCATCAAATTAACTAAAGAGGCAAGAGTAGCTGTCTAGACACTAACTACATCCTTCCCTACCCTCAAAATATTATACCAACAATCAACTTTATCTCATACTTTTGGATCAAAAGTCAACTACAATAAAGCTGACTTTTGACTGTGCAAAGTGTAGGCAACAGAAAACAGCTATACAGCATTAGAGGAGCGGAGATATGGACATTACTTTTTTTCACTGCACAAAAGGACAAGAGCGTGAAGGTAAAATGGAAACTGCATCCATTATAGTATTATACTGCTTCATCTCTTTGCAAACATCTGCACAGACAGCATGCTAACGCAAAGCTAGCCAAGAATGATGATAAAGCTGAGTGCATGTTGACCCCAGCCCAGCAGCCAGAGCCTGAACTTCAACAAGTAACAAAAGCAGTGATGAGCAGTCAGGCTTGCAGCCTCTGTTTTGACCTGTTTATGTTTCTCATGCTTTCAAGTCTCTTTGGGCTGGTTTTCATCTTTGCTTTGTGTTGCTGACTTTGTGTTCGCACTTAAGGAAAGATGTGTCCTCATTAGGATAGGGATTTAGCCAAAGGTTTATATGGTTAACTGGTAATTATGAGACAGTGTGTTTCAGTTTGCAATTTGTGCATATACTACGTGTGCTAGCCTGTGCATTGGTAATTGTTAGTACGTATCACTTACGGATTGGTGGTCGAGAAGATGAACATGGAGCTATATGGAGGCATGGGCCTAGGCCCTCCTTCCCCTCCTTCCTCATCATCATTTGTAGGAGGTGGCAGAGGTTCAGTGTTGGCATTTTTATTAACTGAAGGTAGGAGGAAAACATTGTAAAGAGCTATAAAGTAGCAGAAGAAATACAAAAGAAAAGAAAAACACATCCATTCACCCCTACCTTGCAGTATGGCATTGGTGGATGGAAATATGGGCATGTCCACAGCAGTATAATCAGGGTGGGGCAGCCTGATCACACTGTTTGCACGGTGATGTCCGACATTCCCATAACTATCCAACGTGACCAAACTTCCACGAGTGCCACTGTTAGCAAGATGAAGGGCAGATCCAAATCCAGGGGTGACAGTGTGACTGGCCACTGGATAGGGGCGACCCTCGCTAGGTGGTGTAGAACCAGACACCAGTTTGGTGTTCATGAGGTTGTCCATGTCCTCACTGTACTGGCTATTCTGCCTTGAGAGACTCTTTTGGATGGGCCGTGTGGTAGATAGGTTTGGGACACTGCAGTCCCTAGGAAGAGGTCAAAGAAAGAATTACAGCCATCAGATTAGAGGAGATTGTAAAAAGGATGACTGGAAAACGAAAAAATGAATGACATACTTCCTTCTGTGTGAGCACATACGCTTCCCCTCGCCCTCTGTTTGGCTTCCACGCCGGCTTCTTCTTGACCTCTTCTCACCGCCATTGCCTGCTCGCTCATGCTCTCCTCCTTCCCTACTCCCATCCACTCCTTTGCTCTTATGTCTTCCAGATTTTCCAGCTCCTCCCCCACCTTCCTCACCATCTTCAGCATTCTTTCGATGTGACCTTGGCTTCCTGTGTTCGGACTGCCCTCCTCCTCGACTCCCAGTCCGCGTGTGGTGATGGCGCCTGGATACCCTCTCCTCTGAACCCGGCCCAGGAATCACTGTAGCATCCAGACGGACATGAGAGCTGTGGTGATGCTCACTTTTGCGGCTCCGTCTACTCTCCGTGGATTCTCCCCGCTCCATGGGAGGTCTGGGTGGACCTGAACCTCCTCCACCATCCCCTCCCACTTGGCCATGGTGCTCAGGATGGTGCTGGCTGACACAGAAGTCTGAGTTGTTGCCAGTTGTCTTGTTTGTGTTGTTATTACGATTTTCATGGGGGTCCACCACTAAGGGTCGATCAAGATGGGTCTTCATGTCTGGACGGATGTGACGTGAATAGTTGACCTGCAAGGAAACGAATGGATAGCAAAACAGCACAGAAGGAATAATTTCAAATTTTGTAATTCATGAGAGGAGGCAAAACTTTAGAAGACCTACATTTCAGTTATATATTGGAAATTTCCAACCAATATTTAGACCATAGTTGGTAAATAAGCCACCGATAAATGATTAACAAGAACAAATGAAAACCAATAAAAGTCATCATCAACACTCGTGGCCATAACTTGTGTACACTGATAGCACAAGTCTAGGGGCCCTTTTTGCCTTTTCCTTTACATTGTTGTGCTCCTCCCTCCCTGTCCTTGCCTTCCAGCGGTCATCTGCGTCCAATTCGTTATAGAGGGCCTCGCGGCTGGATGCCAGAGTCTGCTTCCTCAGCTCCTTGGTGCGCTGCTCCCACACTGACTTGCTGACTCCCTTAATGTGGTTCTTCTGCTGCTCCTTGCTGCAAAATGAAGCATGGTGGAAAAGGTAGAAAGGGATTGGCCTCGTTAAGACCTGCTTTAAGACTTGATGCTATGCAAATGAACGCACAAAGACATGAGAATGATGAAGTGGAAACCAACACTAAAAATATAAGTACATCAAATAGCAAGGACATAAAGACACACTGGGGGCCACAGACACTTAAAGGGTCATTTGACTGGACCTATAAAACAACACAGCTCTTAACAGAACAGAGCTTTGGGTATCTGCACAGCTTGCCGAAGCACAAAGCAGGATGGCCCTATTTTGGTAAACCACGTGGGAAACAGTGTGGAGGATAACACTGAGGCGAGGTCCAAATTTGTTCAAATTATACACAACTAATCATCCCATGCTAAAGTACATACAATTTAATGGACAGATTTTGTGCAGAGCAAAAATAGCCATTGAGCTGAATTGAATGGTTTATATTAGTTAGAATAACTGATTTCTTGTTTTTGCAAAAAGATGAGATAAAAAAAAAACACCCCTAAACTGTCAGTGACCACCTCCTTTCTTACCCTCCAAAATTTCTACCAACTTTAACTCACTTTTCTCTCAGGGCCAACAGTCAATGACAATAAAGCAACAGCCGTAGGCAACAGAAACAGTACTTTAAAAAATAAGCCAACATAAAGAAAAAGCTAAAAAAAAAAAAAGCCAGATATGTACAATAATTTTGAAAAAAACAGATGTTACGAACAAAGGGCCAAGAAAAGGATAGAGATCTAAAACATGAAAAAAGCAAGGAATGGTTGTAAAGTCAATAAACAGAAGGAAGTCATAAATGAATAAACAAATAAATAAATACCAGTCCAGAAAGGGGTCAGAAGCGTTGTGACACTCACTGTGTACTTTGTTGCTGAGGAGGGAAACAGCTGGTGAGTGAGATGACACAAAAGAACAGAAGGAGGATTTCATTCCAAAATGGGCTATCCATTTATTTTTTTAAAAGAAAGGAAAAAAAACACAAAGTGCCAACTCTAAAAAAAATTATCGCTATCCACGACAAAAATGTTACATGTCTAAACTAGGAAAAAAGTAAACTATAATCCTGAAATCCAAAAATGGAAGCGAATCTTAGAATATTTTTTGTCAAAAATTTAAGCATTTTGGAATGCAACCCTTCGTACACACAGACACAAAAGACACATACACACACTCAACAAAATCCATTTTCTTCTATCACTCATTTTCCCTTCCCAAGTGCTGCTGTTGTGCGCTGATCAGTTTTACTTCTTTATAATGTACTGCACATGTTTACCCTTCACTCTCTTTTTCCACTGAAGCTGCTACATTAAAAAAATACTTACCAAAATATGGTCCTGTGGGTATATCCTACATGACAACATACACTGGCATTATGACAACATGTTTTAAAATTTTAATAAAACATGTAATATCTGCATATTTTTGACCTGTACTGAAAACTGATAAACCCTGAAAAGCTTACAGTAAGATTTAAAAATAAACATTTTAAATATGAAATGCTCTGCTTTGTCTTAAAGAGGGTTAGGGGCACTTAAAAAAGTAGATACATTTTGGTCATGAATTTATTTCTGAATTCAGAATTTGTGCATGATCCTCTTCCTAACACAAAATAGCACGCTAATAATTTAAAGGACCAAATCTATAAGGACAACCTAATTTAATATGATTTTTATTGTTTCCAAAGGCTTCTTTAAGCTTATTAAAAACACAGTGCTGAAACTTTAAAAAAAATTATTCACTATCATTAGAATAATACTTCCTAAAATGTCTTTGCACTCTGTTTAGAATGCATGGCTGTTTAAGAGAGAGCAATTTCCTTTTGAGAGTACAAACTGGACTTGTGTTGCCTTGGTTTTACGTAGTTTTCTCTGAGTCTGCCATATCTTCTTAAGAGATTCTTCATGCACCACTGATGTCCCCAAGTTTAAAATCCCTCCTTGGGAAAACAGGGACGATCTCCTCTTGAATTTAAATGTCTTTCTGTCTCTATCTCTCTCTTTCTTTTATTTGCACCACAGAAATTAGGGATTTGGATTTACACTGGCACAGTAGAACGTAAGGCAATCTGCAGCCCTACAATGCTTAAAGCTTAACCGAGACTCTATGGTAAACCTCTGTCCTACAGTCTGCTTTCAAAAGATTCAAGCAATTAGGCAGCATGGTTTGTGAAGGTTGTTTTTCTGGATAAATTTGGACAAAAAACCATGGTAACCTAGAGAAGAAATGCTGGATACTATACCAAACCGACATTACCTGAAAACTTCTTTTCTCACACACTCACATACATCCACACACATACACACATACAGACAGATACACATAAACTGTAGTGAAAATAAGACATATTTATATCATAATTCCAAGTAAATTAAACTGATTACACAGACACAGATGGTCACTTCATAGTGAAGCACACTACACGGCACAAACAGTAACAAGAACCTAAGCGATTCATAAAATGATGGAAATGTTAATAAGCATATGTACGTGTGAGTGTATTGAGCTAAAACTCTAGGGCATGTTTGTTCATTGTACCTGCAAGTGACAATGAGTGAGCACAGTCTCACACACCAAACTGCTAAGGACACGACTGTGCTATTACGTATGGTATTTAAAAACAAACATGGTACTCCTGTGTTGTGCTGAACGTATTTTCATGCACGTATTTGTATCTGAGAGCAAAGTGTGTGAACTTTACCAGACGTGAAAGTACAGAGCCTTGTGTGTACAGAGAAAATGGATCAAAGACTAAGACGAAAAGTAAAGGAGAAGAAAGAGATGACAGAGAGAAGGACGAGAAGCAAATATATGTGTGTTTAGGCTATCCCCAATTTCCTTTCCTTGCCAGATAGATGAAGACATGATTTATTCCACTATGATGACAAAATGGCAAAATATACAGAGAATTTTTACATTCATGAACTTTAAATTTTATATTGAAACAGAAAAAAGTCAGTTTGGAAGATGCTATTTGATCAATGAATATATTGCAATTCTAAGAAAAAAGTGGGGCTGTGTACTTTTGAAGGGTAATTAGTCAATAAAGCTCATTGTGATGAAAGACTATTTGCAATCACCAACATCACCACACGTTCATAAGGTGATGAAGTGATGTTTTAAGAATCCAAACTTGAACAGATTATGGTTCACTGACGGTTTTCCTGACTTCAAACACTCAACTGTGCTATACCGTCCACTTCCCAAAGTGCTGAGTCCGACATAAGTACTAGACTCCCAGATGGTGACACAAAAGTAATAGAGACAGAGACTCACGCTGCAATGGAGAGGTTTGCAGCAGATAGTGGGCTAACTTCAGCCACTTCCTTGGCTTTCTGCAGGGCAATCTTCTGATTGGCAGCTTCCTCTTCTTCCTGTTCATCCTGCAAATGTGGATTAGAAAATAAATCAAAACCCAAATATGATAAAGGAAGGAAAAATTCACATGAGGGAAGCAGAAGAAGTTCATTGATTAGAGGACGATAACTCGTGGTTAATGTGTAGGTGTAAGAAACTGCACTCATATTAGACTGTACTATACCTTGGTCAGTTCCTGTGCGTTGGCCAGATTGTCCACAGCGATGGCCAAGAACACATTCAGCAGAGTGTCTGAACACAGAGTTAAAAGCAATCCAGCATCTGGGAGATTGTTTGTGCAAGAGAATACAAAATGTAGATAAAATAATTGGCTAAGCCACTTATATTATAATGTACCTCTTGGCAAGTTGATGTATTGGATTGCAGCGTATCATTATTGCTACAGTATCATCCTTGATACAGATCCCTTAACAGTGTGTGGTTCGACTTACAGATGACAACACAGGTCTGTGTCAGTATATGCCAGGACAGTGGATTTATCAGAATCTCAATTAGGATTATGACAGTGACATCTCCGTGTTGACAATCACTTTGGTATTATAATCCCAATTCCAGAAAAATTGGGACGTTGTACAAAATGTAGATAAAAACAGAATGCAGTGGTTTGAAAATCGAATAAAACCCATATTTTATTCACAGTATATCAAAGAAAATATCAAATGTTTAACCTGAGAAAATATACTATTTTTAATTACTGACAAAATGCTAGCAATCTAGATCATGAACTGTGCCTGACAGAGGTTTAACCTGCGTGGCAAAGAAAGGGATTTCTAGAAGTGTTCCCAAGCCCATGCAATGATTGACAGAATCACAGAATTCTGCCTGTTTTCAATGCAGTCCCACCTGAAGGCGAGCATCCATTTCAGGTTATTTAATATTCGAAGATTCAATGCATATATTCCTGGTTCTGGTTCTTTTAGTTGTTTTTCTTATTTGTGTTATATTTGTAGTTTCTGGTCTTAGTTTTGACATCTGGTCTTTAGGTTCTGTTTCCATGCCTCTCCTGTTCGGTGTTCCTTTTCTGTCTCCTTAGTTAGTCTGCTTCCCAGTGTCAAGTGTTATCGTACTTCCTGTCTTATTTTGACAGTCTCTCATCCTGTGTTCTCTGTGTTCGGTTTTGCTTCCCTGTCCTGTTAGGCTGCATTAATTCCAGCGGTGTTCCCTGCTGTTTCCCTTCCTCTCATGATCCTGTGTGCATTTAGGTTCTCTGTATTCCTCCGCTTGTTGTCACATCATCCCTGTCTGCTATGTGCTTCCCTGTGTTTCCACACAGCGCTACATAACATGTCCCTTGTGCACAGAGATTCCTCTGGATTATGTATTTCATGATATTATGCACTGGATATGATCAGATATTCAAAGCACTCAAAATTTTGCATTATTACAGGAAAAGTTTTCTAATACTGTTCTGCAATTTCTTGACAGTGTTTTTGCAGATTAGTGAACCTCTGCCCATCTTTATTTCTGAGAGACTCTCTCACATGTTCTTTTTACACCCAATTATGTTACTGACCTGTTGCCAGTGAACCTAACTGGGTGCAAACTCCTTGAGGTGTTTCTTTTTAGACCACTTGCTTTTCCAGCCTTTTGTTGCCCCATCCCAACTTTTTTGAGACATGTTGCCACCTTCAAATTCAAAACAAGCCAGTATTTTTTTTATAAAGCAGTAAAATGTCCCAGTTTTAACATTTAATGTTTTCCATGTTATATATGGGTTTGTCCACTGCTTCAAAACCTTTGAAGAACTGAGATTGTACATAATATGACTCTGTAGCTGAAGATGAAGAGCTGACTCTGCCCTCAGTCCAGCATGAATAAAAGAAGCATGACTATTTCTCAGAGATTGTTCTTTTTCTTACACGTTCTCACTTTGATCTTTTGTCAGCTGTGCCAAAGAACAGGTTGTCAGTGAATAAAACAGTAAATACAACACTGACTGAAGCTCTTGCAAGTGACCGTTGGAGAGCGCCTGGCCCCTGCAGTGAATTGAGCTTCTCAGGCAGACCATCATGCAGGTTGTTTGTCAGATGGTTTCTGTGCAATGTCTCGATGTCTCGATGCAAGACTAATTGCTTCAATGTCGATATGCCAAAAAAAAAAAGATTAAAGGAAGTCAGGCTAAGAAAAAAAGTAGCACTTCTATTCAGAGTAACCGCAACTACAAAACAACAGCAAACAGCAATAGGCAGAAAGAAGCATTTAAACTATTCCACCTTTGAGGCTGTCCTAAAGAAAACTGTAAAAAAAAATCTGCATTTAACCTTTGTATGACTTTTTACTGTGAGTAAAGTAAAAATGTGTAAAATACATCTACAAATGTCTCCACTCTAAATATCTGAGAGCTGCGCATGCATGTAGGCTTATCTGCAATGTCACTGTCAAGGGATACAGTTGCCAAAAAGCGTGAGTACAATGAAGAAGACGGAGAAGGCCATGCCCTTGTTGACTCCACCCTGAGATTTGATGCCATCATACATCACCATATTCCAGTCCTCGCCGGTCAGGATCTGGCAAACATACACAAATATTCAGACGATGCTATGACGAGCACTCTCACATCCACATATTTGCTCAAAATGCTATAATCAAAGAACAGACTCTTTTCTCCACACTACTTAAATATTTGAACATGTTTTAGCAGAATTATGCTCCCACCTAATAATCTTTAAGGGTTCTAGAGTAGCATTTTACATTTTACATCACTTCCTCGTGCGCAAATCCTCTTTAGTCCTTTCAGCGTTTAGCTTTAATCCAGCTTTGTCTTCGATTTTGCGGCTTTTTCTCCCTCCACTAGCCTCTCCCTCCCCTTTTCTCCTTTTACAGTACATCGCTCTCCTCTGCTTACCTGGAACACCGTCATTATTGCTGCGGGAAATGTATCGAAGTTGGTTGGAGGGGTGCCACTTTCAAAATTAAACCTAGCAGTGAAAGAATGAAAAAAAAAAAATATATATATATATAATAGGAGCTGAGAAAACAGTGAGCATAGAGAGAACGACTGAGAGAGCCAGAGGCAAGCACAACAAATGTTTGTCTGAAAAACCAGCGCTCTGAAAAACTGCCTTAGGTCAACTGGCAATTAGCAAAAACCAATAGGTTAGCAGAAAATTAAATCATGGCTGTTAAAGGGGAAGGAGAGAGACACTGACTGTCCTCCGAAGAGCTGCATGCCCAGCAGCGCAAAGACGACTATGAAGAGGAAGAGCAGGAAGAGCAAGCTGATGATGGACTTCATGGAATTGAGCAGAGACACGACGAGGTTACGCAAAGACGCCCAGTACCTGGGAAACAGACACATGGAAATGATGATAATACCATGTCCTTTATTTTAATGTATGATCATTACTGTATTACAAGTGACTCACTTGGTGACTTTGAAGATCCTCAATAACCTGAGAGCTCGTAGCACACTGATGCCAAACGATGTGCCCGGTTGGATGATGGACCAAAGGACTTCAAATATGCTACCACATATCACCTAATATAAATGTAAGCATATGCAATTATACATAGTTATTTATTATACTGAGCAAATAATCTACAGACATCAGCATGCAGTATGGCACATTTGTGTTTGTGTAAAGTCTATAGCAGAGGTTTTTTTCATCTATTGTTTTCATCCCACAGGTGTAAAGTCCGTCTATAGACCCGCTTATGAGTTTGTACATTGTGTTATTTTCTTATTGGGTGTGGACTGAGAAGGGCTCACAATGCAGTCGAAGCAGTTGAAGGAGGAGTTGAGGTAGGCCTGTCTGCCCAGGCCGTACAGTTTTACAAACATCTCTGTCAAGAATATTCCCAGGAAGATGAATTCGGCAAAATCTGCACAGAGGGAAGAACACAAAAAGAGATGAGGGTGAAAACCTGAGCGAGTCTCTGTGTGTGTATTCGTCCCAGAACCATTTTTGAAAAAGACTTAGTCTGCATGAAAGGAAAACTGTGTGTGCTTGGATGCGCTTGTGTTAAACGACTGGGTCAGCTCTTTCATGGATTTAGCCACATTAATGAAGAATTTGCTCACCCACTCCTTTTCCAATAATCTGTGATGAAAGTATTTGTGCATTTGCAGAGATAATCGGCCCATACTTGCACTAAGTATGCAAGCATTCACCTCCTACTCACATAGAAAATCTGAAAGTGGTTCAGGCTGGTCGTAGTGCACAACAGCCACACACAGCGTGTTGAGGCCCACCAAACACAGCACGGTCCAGTAGAAGCCCTGGGACTTAACAACATGACGGATAAAGAAGCGAAACCGCCGCTCCCGCCGCTTGAAAGTCGATCCCTCAAGCTTGGAGCTCTTCAAGCTGGCACGAGCAAACGGTGAACCTACCATTCAAAAAGGATAAATGAGGCACATCGTGTATCAACAGCTGCACTGTGACATAAATGAAAAGAAGTCAATGAGTGACCAAAAAGGCGACACAATCACTGGCACTAAAATGTTAATGCTATCTTTTGCCTGTATTTTTTTTTAAGACAGGCAAAAGATCCCATCCCATTATTTCTGTAAATTATTAGGAGAGTAAAAGAATGCATTATTCTTTTATAGTGGACAGTTACCAAAGTAGAGTCAACTATATCGATGGACCTCCTATTTGCTGGAACACTACAATTCAATCAACCTTTCGGCACTGAATCTGCTTTTTAAGTACAAATTGATGTATAATTCACTTAAAGGTAGCACATGATCAAAGCTGCCTTATCAATTTTGAATTTCTAGGTTGCACCATGTCCATTATTGCTCTAAAGAATGAAGAAAAAAAGTTTGCTTTCAGAATCTTAGAGAAGTGCCTAGAATGACTGTGCTGAAAAAATGGTTTGAGCGGAGAAACGGGAATGAGATAACAAGGGCAAGTTAAAGATAGGGGAAAAAAAGATGAGGGGCTCGAGGACAGTGAAAATGTAACATTAGGAGTGCAGAGCAGCAGAGAGGGAGAAAGGAGAGGGAAGGGCGGGAGAGGGATGGAGAGGAGGGTCAGGTAATGCTGATATGCAAGATAAGATAGCATCTCTGTGTACCTGCGATTTGCCTTTGACTGTGGGTCTGTTTCTCCTGTGTGCTACTCTTAATGTGGGGATATAAATTCCTTTTTACAGTCATAATGGGAAATAAGTGTGTTTTAAAGCAAGATTATCATGGAGTTAGGTTTAGGTTAAGAGCTGTGGTAGAAATGTGTAGGGTTTGGGACCTTTTGCAGAAAAAAACAAAACAAGTAAATGCAGTGTTCTCTGAGGGGATGTAAAATGGCTTTGTTGTGTGTGTGTGTGTGTGTGTGTGTGTGTGTGTGTGTGTGTGTGTGTGTGTGTGACACAGACAGAGAGAAACACAACACATCTTACCTACTCCCAGGTCTCCCTCCCCTTCCTCTGAATTTAGAAGCTCAGCTTTGCTTTTGTGGTTCTTTGTGGCTCTCCTACGAGAACCTGTTATACAGTACAAATATATTTATACATTTACCCACAACACAACAGTTCAGCTATTCATTTATGCATATTTATATGTTACATTCGAAAAGAAAAAGGAAATTGATACCATCATATTCATTTTCATTCTCATCATCCGCCAAGATGACCTCTTCTACAAAACACACAAGCAAAAATGTGAATATATTATACATTTATGTGTAAGTTCCACAACATCTTCATACATCTTTTTAAATCATAGTCTCTGTTTCACTCAGTAGTCCCTCTTTTGTTTTATTAGCTTCTGTGTTTTTATGTAAAATTTGTCTTTTCAGGAAGATCAAAGCTCTGTCCCCTTTATCTGCCCCTTTATTCGATTTGACCCTCTTTTACTCTTATTTTCTCTCACATTTCCTGCCTTCAACAGATAGCTACCAGGCCGGAGAGGTGGACAAAACTCTCTATCCAAGGGTCTGTAATCTGTAAGATATTCAAGATATAATATGTGTTATAAGTTCCATTAAATTTGTGTCACTGCTTTACTGGATATGTGTTATGTTAAAGGTAAATGACATTGAAAAAAATGGCAAAAAGAAAGCACAACCATATAGAGCAGCTGCAATGGGAAACTTTTGAATAAGAACAAACCAAAACTTGTCAGTGCTAAGGTGTCAGTGTGTATTCAGCTATAACTATAAAATACAATGTAATATGGATCCTTCTTCCCTGAATAACAACTGTTGTGCAAGTGATTGTGATAATGTCACATTATAACTCATGTTTACTGTGACTGCTTTTATGATAAAATCCACAAAAAGGGTTTTGGCCTCATTCTTTAAGTGTTTACTTTGACGTTCCGGGAAAAAGTGATGGTTTACTTTCATTCCAGCATCACACAAGCTGGTCTTCAAACTTACAGCTGAATATATATTAAGTCTTCTGAATTTCCAGTGGTTTGAGTGTTAATATCTAAGCAGAAATTTGCTGTGACATCTGACATGTATTACACTGTAATACATGTCAGGTGTTTTTATATGGTCAAATGTTGCCAGGCATGCACTCAGTCATACCAGCTTTACAGATCCACTCCAGGTAACCGTTAAGTTCCCTTTCAATCTGCTGCTGTCTTCGGAGCTTCAGAAACTCACTCCTGTTCTCCACACGCTCTCTCTCTTTGGCGAACTCGCTGCAGACACACACATGACACAAGTATATACCCTGCACATCACATCATCACCTGAGAACTCTGTAAAGCACGTTGGGACTGTTTCTTTTTATATATTTACACATGCACATAAACTTACCCCGACAACACACCCAGCACCAGGTTGAGCATAAAGAAAGAGCCGATGATGATGAGGGGGATGAAGTACATCCAGTTCCATGCACTCCCTGAGGCATCGTTGCTCTGGAAACACACGTGAGGACACACGCGTGCACACACACACACACACACACACACACACACACACACACACAC